TTGCCCTCATAAGCTTCTCATACCATTTGTAGGAGCCAATAACGTAATTACCAAAAGATCTTATGTTATCAGTTCAGGACTTTTATTACATTATTGGCCTACTACATTTTAAAAAGTGTAAATTTATTATGCTATCGGCTTCTACACCATTAAGTAAAAAAGAAGTTAAATCTCTAAGATTATTTATTTCACAAAAATTGACAAAACCTGGACTCGCAACATACTATAGATCTTGTATTTCCTACATTTTTTTATTTGTTTCCCATCCCTCCTTTTATCTGCCGTCTAAACACAGCCTGCAGTTCAGCCGAATATGTTTTTTTATTTGTCACAGGACTGTTGATTGCAGTCCCAGAATTTTTGTGTTTAAAGGGATCCGTTTCATGGAAACTGTCTGTTTTCTGGCCATTTTTCCCCTCTTAGTGTAGGTAGCACTTTTGTACGCTTGGAAAAATGTATGTACGTCTGTTCCAAGTTTTAAAATATATCTATATTTCTAGCCATTGTTGTGCAGATTCTTTCTTTGTACTGCAGTGAAAAATGAGCCAAATGTGATGGGAGCAAAAAAAAAAAACGCTCAGAAACTGCTTGGAGTTCAAAGGCTAAAAAGATTTATGTTTTTATACTTGTCTTCTACAGTCGTCCTCAAATGTATTCATAACTGTCCATTAAAGAAAAGGCAAAATACACAATAATCACTCAAATAACTAGAAACTTAAAAAAGTAATAATAAATAAAAATTTGCTAAATTATAATTTATTTAAACCAGACATTGCTTTTGAATTGGGGTTGAAAAGAATAATTTAAAAAAATAAACTGTCCTGGACAAATTAGAGCACTTTGCTGATGAGCAGTGAAATCTAAACACCTGTCAACAGGTGCAGAAGTCTGATGGAGTTACAGAAAACACCTGATGGCAGTGATTGGCTCAAAGGGTAGTTCAACAAAGTGTTAGTTTACGGCTCCCATCATGCTTGTTTTAAAAAATTTAGTTTTTTAAATGTATGTATATATTTCTGCTGAACTACAATTCAAAAGCAATGTCATGAATTTTTGTCACGTGACTGTTGGTCGCAGCTGAGCCACTAATAACTTTATGATTGTGACAAGAAACGCTGAATTTTTAGTTTTTTACAGAATCTAACTCACTGCTAACGCTATTTTTGGTGCTTTTTTCTGTTTTTATTGTGATTTAGATTAAATATCCTGATTTTAAACCTCAAAACCGAATCTTCCAGTTTTACAATTTCTCAGATAAATGCTGTAATTTATAAATAAAAAATAACGTGCATTTCAAACCCACTTCCACAGTGCCCAGTGTGACGCCCTAAAACCAGTCATTCTCTCTCTCATGGTTAAACTGGTGCAGACCGAGTGCAGATGTGCTTCTGGATAGTGTCTGATGTGAGCGACTGTGTCCCTTGGTTGCCTCCTATGAAGCCTCTTTATGAACACAGGCGAGTATCTCTGGCTCGGCTCTCTGTAAACATGTAGGTAAATAATCAGCCAATCGACTCCTATTTATTCAGATTTAATGGGGAGGAAGCTGCTTGATTGGAGGACTTCCTGTTGCTGTGATTTGCGGGCAGCCGGCCGGACCGAGCTGGTGGTCAATGGCGTCTTTGTCGGGTGTCGCCGGGCTTCATGTCACAGATTGTGTGACAGCAGCAGGAGACGAGGAGGGAGGAGGCGTCAATGTCAGTTTTTTTCTTTCTGTGAAGCTTTATTGATTTCAAAGATTTGCCTGTTTCTGTCGGGCATCACAGAGAACACACCTGCTATGATTGATTGATTGATTGATTGATTGATTGATAAAAGACACGACGGTCACCGACATGATCACTTCTGACACACTTTAAAGATTTCTGCTTCTAAAACATTCAATACTCGTCAGTTTCAGGCGTCTGTACGGCTGTACGTTGGCCGTGAAAGTGATTTATGATTTGCTGAAAATGCTAATTTGGTGTCGGTTTCATAGGAGTATTGATTACATTTTGATAGCAGTTACAATCAATTAACCCTGTGCTGCTCGTTTTAACCCTCTGAACCTACTGGCAGGTCGACAAATCCACACCACGATCGACTAAATTATGCCGTCTATCAGAGGGAGAAACTGTAAAAAAACAGAAACGATAGTCGCATTTTTAACTTTCTGGTGGTTCTTGAACTACTCGGGGTGTTTTGTGACGTTCAGTTCAGGGACACTAAAGCATAAAATTGTGATATTTCATCAGAATTACTTAAAAATCCACGAAAAACAACAAGATTCTGTTAAAAATGAAAAATTCTGGACTCGTCGGCACAACCGTGGAAACATGAGGGACTCAGCTGTGACGGAAAATATCTTAAAATAAAATAAAAATCCAGTTAGTTTAAAGCTGAACTGCAGACAGTGTTTACACAAAGCAGAGAGAAGACAAATACAGAAAAAATACAAATACAAAAACACAGTTTTCGTTCTGTTTCTTTAATGTTTGTCAAATAAGTCAAACGACTTCTAATAAAATTGTGTTCAACCAACAAACTACATTGAGTCAGAGAAATGAGCTTTTACTCTTCAGTCAGTTTTTTTCTTTAAAATTAACGATTGGCAGCATAAACACAAGTTTTTAGGTGAATTACTTATTTAATACAGACTTTTTGTACTTTATTTCCATGTTTATGTGCATAAGTTGACAAAGATTTAAACGAGTAACGTGCTCCTGTTACATTTTCTGATGTGCTTTTTCATATTTTTTGTACTTATTTAAGGAAATAATCATTAGAATTAACCTTTAAAAATGATTTTGAATCGCAGTTGTGCAAATTAATCCACATACAAAGTGTATGTAATGCATGTTTAAATCTTGAATTTAAAATCAACCCAAATTTGCCCCAGAAATGATTAAAAACGAACAAAACCAAACATGAAAAGCCTCCTCCAGCTCAGCAGATTAGTCGTTATGATTCTTATCCACTGAAGGTTAAGACGGACAAGTTTCTCGGTTAAATAAGAGTCCACGACTGCAGCAGAAACATTCATCGCTTTCGTTGAATTTATTTCTATGAGAAGCGATGCTTTCTTTGAAACCTCCTTTGTGTCGTGTTCGTTCAGCCTGCAGGTTCTCGAGTGCACGAACCTGAGAGGGGACTTGAAATCCTGAAGTCAAGGTGAAGAAAAAGGAAGAAAACTTCAGTTTAGTTTTAAATACGTTTAATATATAAACTCAGCTTAGATTTTTATCTTATTCATTCATTTAAAGAGTGAGAACAGGTGCGTTGAATGATTTTATTTTTTTAGTGTCCGTGCAGCGATCCTTCCCTAAAACTGCTGGTAAAAAAAAACATAAAAGACCTTGTTAATAAAATAAAGACAATCCTCTGAGTCACTTTTTTTTCCAGCAGGTAGACACATTAAACATTTGGGAGAGCTTTGATTTAATCCCATTCAGCTGCGTAACCTTGCCGTTGTACTCGCTGTGCCGACACAAAGCGCCTCGTAGAAGCGACGTGACGCACGGGAACATGCTGCCGTGATTTCTCCCGGCCTCGCTCCGTGTTTTGATCTCGTCTCCTTTTGTGCTTCTGCGTGCGATTAAATCAAAGCGTGGCTTGAATAGATGGCCGGCAGCCCATCCAGCACCTATGCAGGGTGTCGTATGGAGACGCAGAGGGTCGCTGACTCCGTCTGTGGCACTTTGTCCAACATTTGACTAGAATATTAAACCTCTGAGCTGGTTTCATGAGTTCTGATGTTGCTGAAGATGCACAAGAAGCTCTGATATTTACTGTCCTTGAATATCTGAACTGTTTCAAAAAGCTGTGTTCTTCACGTGGTATCTTTTTCCTCAAGCAATTTCTGGGTGTTTTTATTCTCCTCACAAATGTATTTACTGTGTGCTGTTTTTAGTTTTATTTAGTTTTTAAATTAGACATGTAGACTGAAGTGATTTGGATGAAATATCACAGTTTTAAGCTGACATTTATTCCATTTTTCTGAATGGAACCCTAGATCACAGGTGACAAGTTCAAAGACTGTAGGAAATTTGAGTACCTGCCGATTCATTCTGCTTTTACTGTTTCTGAAACTGGTAACTGGTGCAAGTTTGGCACTTTTTAACGATAACGATGCCTTTTAGTGGTGACTATACAGACTTTAAATACTTTTCCTGCTTAAACTTCTAACTTGTTATACTTTCATTTGCTTTGTGTAAACACTGCCTCCAGCTAAGCCAAAAATTCTCAGAATATTTGTCGCATGGCTGTTGGTTGTAGATGACATTTCAGCAGATTTATGTTTTTTACAGAACCTGGTTTTGGCTGATGGTGTATTTTGGGGAATTTTTATAAATGAGACTTGTAGAATAAGGTGATTGTGATGAAATATTATGATTTTAAGGATAGAAAGGTTAGATTTTGTTAGTTTTCTGAATTCTTTCTGTCTTAAATGGTGTAATTTTGGCATTTTTTACCAGATTACATGCCTTTGGTGGTGGTGGTGACTCGAGATACCTGAAATATTTTTACTTACAATTTCTATAGTTTCATCACAGTTAAGCCGAAAAGTCTTTGCCACATGGCTGTTGGTCATAATTGAGTCACTGCTGGCTTCGCGGTTGCATTTAGAAGCGCAGAATTTTTAGATTTTTACAGAATCTAGTTAATGCAGAAAGTTTATTTGTTGGAGAATTTTCAAACAATGCACAAAAAATGAAGAGATTTGGATAAAATATTATAATTTTAGGCTCAAATTTGGTTAATTTTCCAAGCGAAACCATCAGAAACTGAAAAATCCTATTGCTGTTCATGTTACTAGAGTTTAATAAATGGTTGAATTTGGTTGATTTTAAAAATAAACGTGATGCTTTTCAAACCTGTTGTTGGGTTTAAGCGCTCAAGAAAGGGAAACCAAAAAGCTACACACAGTTTGCTGGACGTTGTCGCCTGCTAGCACCAAACTAATAAGACAAAAAGGTTACAAGAACTCTGTTCTAATGTCTGTCTTCTCTCCGTCCCTGCAGTGGACATCAACTCGGCGCTGCCCCTGCGTCTCCCTCCGGCCGCCATCCCCATGGACCTGCGCGTGGACCACCACCACCAGCAGCAGCAGCAGCAGGTGTCCTCGCTGTCCCCGCCCGCCCAGCAGTCGCCCGGCTCCCTGGGAGGGTCGGGCCCGGCCGGCGGCGGCGGCGGCGTGGTGGCGGCGTCGGTGCGCGAGCAGCAGCTGCAGCAGGAGCTGCTGGCCCTCAAGCAGAAGCAACAGATCCAGCGGCAGATTCTCATCGCCGAGTTCCAGCGGCAACACGAGCAGCTGTCCCGCCAGCATGAGGCCCAGCTCCAGGAGCACATTAAGGTAGATCATCTACAATTAGGATTATTTACATAAATGAATACATCAGGTTTGTAGGTCTGTGTTATGGGCTGGAGTGCTGTGAGGTTTACTTTAAAAAAAATTTTAAGAAAATCACTTCAGAAGGTTTCCTCCCCCAGGATTGAGCATGTTGAAGATATTCTGCCTTTAAAGAAAACATAGCGACGTTTAACCCTCCACTTTGCTCCTGTCACATTTTTACTCACTGTGGCTCATTTTTCCTGAACCTCTGAGGGAACAGAACCACGACTAGAAGTAGAGAGAACTCAGAAAAGTCTGCACACATATAATGCCATAAATCATCATCAACATTTTGTATTTATTTCACAGAAAATCCAAAATTGTCGAGTCAGTACGCACATTTTTCCAAAGTGTTGTCAATCTTGGAAAAA